GACTCTGACCGAGACACTAATATAAGGGGGGACTCTGATGGGGACACTGATATAAGGGAGTACTGTGATGAGGACACTGATATATAAGGGGAGTACTGTGATGAGGACACTGATATAACTGAAGATTCTGATGTAAGGGAGGACTTTGATGAGGACCCTGATATAACTGAGGATTCTGATGTAAGGGAGGACTTTGATGAGGACCCTGATATAACTGAGGATTCTGATGTAAGGGAGGACTTTGATGAGGACCCTGATACAACTGAGGATGCTGATGTAAGGGAGGACTTTGATGAGGACCCTGATATAACTGAGATGCTGATGTAAGGGAGGACTTTGATGAGGACCCTGATAACTGATGAGGATAACTGAGGATTCTGATGGGGACACTGATGTAAAGTAGAACTCTGATGAAGATAATGATGTAAGGGGGTCTGTGATGAGGACACTGATATTACTGAAGATTCTGATTAGAGATGAGCGAATCGAACCTGGAAGTGGAATTCGTTTGAATGAAAAATTCGATTCACGTCGAATGAATATTAGCAAACTTCGGATGCACGAATCGAATTTTCCCCGATCCGCCAGCAAAAAAAAAAGTGTCCCTGCAGAGAGCTCCGCTATTTCTGACAGTTCTCTGACAGTTCCTTCACATTTACAGCAGTTGAAACATTGTATCTATTTGTTTCCAGTTAGGATACAGATGTTTTTATTCGGAAACAAATAGATACAATGTTTCAACTGCTGTAAATGTGAAGGAACTGTCAGAGAACTGTCAGAAATAGCGGAGCTCTCTGAGATACACTTTTTGCTGGAATGGAATTCTTCTTCATCCTCATCCTACTTCTTCTTCATCCTCATCCTACTTCTTCTTCTTCTTCTTCATCCTCATCCTTCCTTCTTCTTCTTCTTCTTCATCCTCATCCTACTTCTTCTTCTTCTTCATCCTCATCCTACTTCTTCTTCTTCTTCTTCATCCTCATCCTACTTCTTCTTCTTCTTTCTACTTCTTCTTCTTCTTCTTCTTTCATTCTTCTTCTTTTCATTCTTCTTCTTCTTCTTTTCATTCTTCTTCTTTTCATTCTTCTTCTTCTTTTCATTCTTCTTTTCATTCTTCTTCTTTTCATTCTTCTTCTTCTTCTTTTCATTCTTCTTCTTCTCTTTTCATTCTTCTTCTTCTTCTTTTCATTCTTCTTTTCATTCTTCTTCTTCTTCTTTTCATTCTTCTTCTTTTCATTCTTCTTCTTTTCATTCTTCTTCTTCTTTTCATTCTTCTTCTTTTCATTCTTCTTCTTCTTTTCATTCTTCTTCTTTTCATTCTTCTTCTTCTTCTTTTCATTCTTCTTTTCATTCTTCTTCTTCTTCTTTTCATTCTTCTTCTTCTTCTTCTTTTCATTCTTCTTTTCATTCTTCTTCTTCTTCTTCTTTTCATTTTTCTTCTTCTTTTCATTCTTCTTTTCATTCTTCTTCTTCTTCTTTTCATTCTTCTTTTCCTTCTTCTTCTTTTCATTCTTCTTTTCATTCTTCTTCTTCTTTTCATTCTTCTTCTTCTTCTTTTCCTTCTTCTTCTTCTTCTTTTCCTTCTTCTTCTTCTTTCTTCTTCTTTCGTGACTGCCCAAATGAGTGAAGTGTGCGGTGATTCTAAGATCGACGGCACTCATCTGCATGTCATACTGACTGACAGTATTATTTCTCTTCCCCAGCAGACTCCAAGGGCATTTAAATTAAAGGTACAGTGTTCTGCACTAATATAAAGGCTCTCTGAAGCCTAGAAACACCCTTTTAATAAGTTAAATTCGCAGCGAATAAATTTGCATCGAATCGAATTTCTGAAATTCGGGACACTCGAATTTTTTGTAATTCGCTCATCTCTAATTCTGATGGGGGGACTCTGATGAGGACCCTGATATAACTGAGGATTCTGATGGGGACACTGATGTAAATGAGTAAGGGATGAGGACACTGATCTGATGCGGCGGGACCCTGATATAACTGAGGATTCTGATGAGGACACTGATGTAAGAGGGGACTCTGGTGAGGACCCTGCTATAACTGAGGATTCTGATGGGGACACTGATGTAAGAGGGGATTCTGATGCGGACCCTGATATAACTGAGGTTTTTGATGAGGACACTGATGTAAGAGGGGACTCTGATGTAAAGTAGAACTCTGATGAAGACAATGATGTAAGGGGAACTTTGACGGGCACACTATGTAAGGAGGGACTCTGATGGGGACAGTTATGGAAAGGGAACTCTGATGGCAAGCCTGATGAAGACTCTGATGTAGGACTCTGATGGGGACCTTGATGCTTAGGGCCAGGGGAAACTGACCATTTGGAAACTCGGGCAGTGCCCGAGGGCCCGGGGTCAGTAGGGGGCCCCATGAGATGCCCCTGGTACCTTTTTCATAGGCTTTTTTGAGTTTGGGCAAGGACACAGGGGCCCCATGATCCCCTATTGCCCGGGGGCCCCATGAGTTGTCAGTCCGCCCCTGCTTAGGGGGGACTCTGATGTAAGGGGTACTGTAATAGGAACTTAACAAATATTCGTAAAATATACATTGTGGCCCTTTTACTGAACGCTTGGAGTCCCCGGGTTTGGGTCGCATTTTTATAACGGCTGGCATCTCATTGGATGGTTTATAGGTCACATGACTACCGTTATCCCTCTTTTGTTGTCACCATCTCACTACATCGATGTATTCTGCTTATACCTATTTATATGTAACCAAAGACACTGATGTAAGGGGGGGACTCTGGTAGAGATGTAAGGGGGAATCTGATAGATGTAAGGGGGATTCCGTATAGGACTATATGTAGGACAGACTCTGATAGGGACATTAATGTAAGGGGGGAATCTGATGGGGACCCTTATGTAGGGGGGGAAATCTGATGGGGATCCTGATGTGAGGGGGGGAATCTGATGGGGACCCTTATGTGGGGGGGAATCTGATGGGAACCTTATGTAGGGGGGAATCTGATGGGGATCCTTATGTGGGGGGGGAAAATCTGATGGGGATCCTTATGTAGGGGGGGAATCTGATGGGGACCCTTATGTAGGGGGGGAATCTGATGGGGACCCTTATGTATGGGGGATTGATGGGGACCCTTATGTAGGGGGGGAATCTGATGGGGACCCTTATGTAGGGGGGAATCTGATGGGGATCCTGATGTGAGGGGGGAATCTGATGGGGACCCTTATGTAGGGGGGAATCTGATGGGGACCCTTATGTAGGGGGGAATCTGATGGGGACCCTTATGTAGGGGGGGTAATCTGATGGGGACCCTTATGTAGGGGGGGAATCTGATGGGGACCCTTATGTAGGGGGGAATAATCTGATGTGGGGACCCTTATGTAGGGGGGAATCTGATGGGGACCCTTATGTAGGGGGGAATCTGATGGGGACCCTTATGTAGGGGGAATCTGATGGGGATCCTGATGTTAGGGGGGGAATCTGATGGGGACCCTTATGTAGGGGGGAATCTGATGGGGATCCTGATGTGAGGGGGGAATCTGATGGGGACCCTTATGTAGGGGGGAATCTGATAGGGATCCTGATGTTAGGGGGGGAATCTGATGGGGACCCTTATGTAGGGGGGAATCTGATGGGGATCTGATGTGGGGGGGGAATCTGATGGGGACCCTTATGTAGGGGAGAATCTGATGGGGACCCTTATGTAGGGGGAGAATCTGAGGGGGACCCTTATGTAGGGGGGGAATCTGATAAGGTTTGTAGGGGGGGAATGTGGGGGTAGGGAAATCTGATGGGGAACCTTATGTAGGGGGGGGAATCTGATGGGGACCCTTTTGTAGGGGGGGGAATCTGATGGGGACCCTTATGTAGGGGGGGATCTGATGGGGACCCTTATGTAGGGGGGAATCTGATGGGGACCCTTATGCAGGGGGGGAATCTGATGGGGACCCTTTGTAGGGGGGAATCTGATGGGGACCCTTATGTAGGGGGGAATCTGATGGGGACCCTTATGTAGGGGGGAATCTGATGGGGATCCTGATGTGAGGGGGTAATCTGATGGGGACCCTTATGTAGGGGGGAATCTGATAGGGATCCTGATGTGAGGGGGGGAATCTGATCGGGATCCTGATGTAGGGGGGCTCTGATGGGGATCCTTATGTAGGGGGGGAATCTGATGGGGACCCTTATGCAGGGGAGGAATCTGATGGGGACCCTTATGCAGGGGAGGAATCTGATGGGGACCCTTATGTGGGGGGGGGATCTGATGGGGCTCCTTATGTAGGGGGGGGGAATCTGATGGGGACCCTTATGTAGGGGGGGAATCTGATGGGGACCCTTATGTGGGGGGGAATCTGATGGGGACCCTTATGTAGGGGGGGAATCTGATGGGGACCCTTATGTAGGGGGGGAATCTGATGGGGACCCTTATGTGGGGGGGGAATCTGATGGGGACCCTTATGTGGGGGGGGGGGGGATCTCATGGGGACCCTTATGTAGGGGGGGATCTGATGGGGACCCTTATGTAGGGGGGGATCTGATGAGGATGTAGGGGGGATCTTATGTAGGGGGGATCTGATGGGGACCCTTATGTATGGGGGAATCTGATGGGGACCCTTATGTAGGGGGGGATCTGATGGGGACCTTATGTGGGGGGGGGGATCTGATGGGGACCCTTATGTAGGGGGGAATCTGATGGGGACCCTTATGTAGGGGGGGGGATCTGATGAGGATCCTTATGTAGGGGGGATCTGATGGGGACCCTTATGTAGGGGGGCTCTGATGGGGATCGTTATGTAGGGGGGAATCTGATGGGGACCCTTATGTGGGGGGGGGGGGATCTGATGAGGATCCTTATGTAGGGGGGATCTGATGGGGACCCTTATGTAGGGGGGATCTGATGGGGACCCTTATGTAGGGGGGCTCTGATGGTGAACCTGATGTCTATTAGTATCCAATCAATGGAATGTGATGCCAGAGGGATTCCATTGTCGGTGTAATATTACTAAGCACACTCTTTTTCTCCGCAGCTCTTCGGTTTGGGCTCAGTGGCCCAGGTGGTTCTGGGTAAGAAGGAATACGGACAATACCTCAGCATTAACCTGTCCTTTGGAATTGGTGTCACGATGGGTATCCATGTGGCTGGGGGGGTCACTGGTGAGTACTCCAGCTTCCAGGTTCAAATACTACATCCACGAGGAATTTGCTAAACTGTCACCGAATGCATCCAAATAAATCAAATCTTTGGTTAATGATTACCGCATTCCAGTAAGTTGGCATCAAAAACCCAAGTGGAACGCCAAGCGAAGTCAACAAAGTTTCCTCACCAAACTACAGGATCACTTTAAAATTCTAAGTTTGAGATGCTGTAAGAAAAGAGTGTGTGAACCTCCACATGGAAAAAAAATTAAAATTTGAAATATATTTTAAAAATACATTCCTAATAAATTCTTCCCAAATATATTGAAATCTATTTCAAATACTACAATTTTGGTCATATTCAATATATTTCAATATATTTGTAAATATATTATTAAAAATATATTCAGAACGCACGCTGCAATATATATCAACGTTTAATTTGGAATGCATTTACAAGTATATTTAATAATCTATGTTTATATCTTTTATTATATCTTTTTTTTTTTCTTAAAAGAAAATTTAATAAAAGATATAATGAAAAAAAAAATATCTATGTTTAAATGCATTTTTTTAAATGTTCAAAAATATCTGAAAAATATATTTTGAAAAATATATTTTTAAATATATGCCTTTGGAAAATATATTTTAATTTACATTTTTGGAATACGTGTTAAAATATATTCGTGTAGGCCAACATATTGTAAACGTATGTCACATGTATATTTTTTTTTTCTAAATATATTGAAAATATATTTCTCTTCTATATGGGCCCTTGGATTTCTCAATCAACGGCTCTGAAAATCGAATATAAAAGGCTCAAAATGTGCCACATCCCTCTCAAATTTAGATTTTTTTGTATAGTACTGCTCGGACCTTGAAGAAGGGGACATTCCCCCGAAAGCTTGGCCTCAAAATTGTATGTTAGTGCAAATAAAAAAAGTATCACGGACAGTACTCAATTGTTCCTGTCTTAATTTAGACTAAACACAGCATTTGACATCGGGGGATTTTTCTGGCACAAAACCATTATTTTCTTAAAAGCATACCGTTTATTAGTACAAAAATGTATTAAAATTATAAAATTTTCATCAACCTAGTATTTAAAACCACATAAAATTTGCATTGCATCTCAAATACAATAGGGGTTACGCATTCAGATTCTCAAAAGCACGACGCGTTTCCTGGATTGAATCCACTTCATCAGGAGCTAGAGATGAATATCTCTAAATATAAAAACACAATTGTCACCACATATTAAATATATTGCAGCGAGTCAGAGGTCACTATAAAAACAAGCTATTGAATTGGTCCCACATGAAAGAAATACACTTGTGTTCAAAATAATAGCAGTGTGTTGAAAAAAAGTGAATAAAGCTGAAAATCCTTCTAATAGCTTTTATTTCCATCCACACAAATGCATTGGGAACACGACACATTCTATTCCAAATCACAACATGAAGAAAAATACATCAAATTTGTGTTGTTCCTCTAAAAAAATTGAAGAAAAGTGAATATTAGACGGTTCAAAAAAATGGCAGTGTTTGTATTCTTCTTTACAAACTCAAACATTCACTTTATAAACTGAGAAATGTTTGAAGATTTTGCTTTCCTTTGAATGACTTCATGAATATTTGGTTGTAGTCGCACTGTTTCTGAGAACTGCTGTACATCTGTGTTGCATGGAGTCACCCAACTTCTGGCCCCTGTGATCAGGTATTCCAGCCCAGGATGATTGGACCACATTCCACAGTTCTTCTCTATTTCTTGGTTTTGCCTCAGAAACGGCATTTTTGATGTCACCCCACAAGTTTTCTATTGGATGAAGATCTGGGGATTGGGCTGGCCACTCCATAACGTCCATCTTGTTGGTCTGGAACCAAGATGTTGCACATTTACTGGTGTGTTTGGGGTCGTTGTCTTGTTGGAACACCCATTTCAAGGGCATTTCCTCTTCAGCATAAGGCAGCATGACCTCTTCAAGTATTCTGATGTATTCAAACTGATCCATGATCCCTGGTATGCGATAAATAGGCCCAACACCGTAGTATGAGAAACATCCCCATATCATGATGCTTGCACCACCATGCTTCACAGTCTTCACAGTGTACTGTGGCTTGAATTCAGTGTTTGGGGGTCGTCTGACAAACTGTCTCCGCCCACTAGACCCAAAAAGAACAATCTTACTTCCATCAGTCCACAAAATGTTGCGCCATTTCTCTTTAGGCCAGTCAATGTGCTCTTTGGCAGATTGTAACCTCTTCAACACACGTCTTTTTCCCAACAGTGGGACTTTGCGGGGACTTCTTGCAGATAGCTTGGCTTCACATAGGCATCTTCTAATTGTAACAGTCCTCACAGGGAACGTCACACCTTCTTTCATCTTCCTGGAGCTGATTGTTGACTGAGTCCGCGCCATTTTGGCTATTCTTCTATCCATTCCAATGGTAGTTTTTCGCTTTCTTCCACGTCTTTCAGGTTTTGGTTGCCATTTTAAAGCATTTGCCATCATTTTAGCTGAGCAGCCGATCATTTTCTGCACTTCTTTATATGTTTTCCCCTCTCCAATCAACTTTTTAATCAAGGTACGCTGTTCTTCTGAACAATGTCTGGAACGACCCATTTTCCTCAGAATTTCAGAGAGAAATGCACTGTAACCAGCATGTCCAACATTTGCTGCCTTCCTTCCTTAAATAAGGGCAATAATTGCCACCTGTTTTTCAAAGAATGAATGACCTCACTAATAGAACTCCACACTGCTGTTATTTTGAACACGCCCCTCAATGAGTGATTCAATGACACAGAATCAGCAGCATGCATGTCATGACTGTTGGGTCTGTTGGATTTCTATTACTCTACTACACCTGCTAGGAAATTATTTGCCATGTAGAAATATAATTCCTACTAAAAACAGTGATTGATCCGGTTAGTGATGTCTGACTGCTATTATTTTGAACACGACTGTGTATATATATATATATATACTGCATGTTGAAATGTGTTTTTTGTATTATAAATATATGACTTTTTTTAAAAAATACATTTCAAATATACTGTATGTGATTAAAAATACAAGTCTAAATTTTTGGAATGCATTTACAAATATATGTAAAAATATATGTTAAAATGCCTTTTTTGTATGTTAAAAAAAGCTGAAGAATATATAATACCACATTAAATTTGCATTGCATCTCAAATACAATAAGGGGTTATGAATTCAGATTCTCAAAAGCACGACGCGTTTCTTGGATTTAATCCACTTCATCAGGAGCTAGAAATGAATGTCTCTAAATATATAAAAACACACACATTGTCAACACATATTTTCCGTCCAAATGTACGTATGTAGTTCCGGTATTGACCATTTACCTGAATGAGCCCATATGGCAAAGGGGACAAAAAAGGACTGTCAGAGGCCCAGGCAAGGGGGCCAACACGAAGGCTGGAGTCCCAACTAAACTGCAGCGAGTCAGAGGTCGCTATAAAGCAAGGTATTGAATTGGTCCCACATGGAAGAAAAATATATTTGCAATATATTTTAAAAATATTCTTCCCAAATATATTGACATATATTTGAAATGCTACAAATTGGGCCGCATTCAATATATTTAAAAATATATTTCAATAACTATCTCTATCTATCTATCCATCTATCTATCCATCTATCTATCTGTCTGTCTATCTATATATATATATATATATATATATATATATATATGCGCTGCATGTTGAAATGTTTTCTTAATTACAAATATATTAAAAATATTATTTAAAATACATTTCAAATATACTGTATGTCTTTAAAAATACAAATCTACATTTTTGGAATGCATTTACAAATATATGTAAAAAAATATGTTAAAATGCCTTTTTTGTATGTTAAAAAAAAATCTGAAAATTCTATTTAAAAAAATATATATTTTTCAAAATATTTTTCATATAGTTTGTAATATATAAAAAACAAATTTCAACACGCAGTATAAATATATATTTATTGACATATATTTTGAAATATATTGAATACGGCCAAAATTGTAGTATTTCAAATGTACGTCAATATATTTGGGAAGAATATTTCAAATATATTTTTCTTCCATGTGGGCATTCTAATCAATTGTTTGAAATTTCCTCTAGCATAGGTTGACAAATGTATTTATAATGCCTGTCGATTTTTTTTTTTTTACCATGGATGTTTTGTAATGGTAAAATTAAGTATAATAAATTATATTTTTTTACTTATACTTTAAAGTATACATTGTATATTCCCAAGTAGCACAAGAAAAACCCCATTGTTCGCTCTGTCAATATAAATTAGGAATGTGCGTAACCACTTTGAATGCTGGTCATCCTTGTAACCTGGGGCGGACTTGCCCAAACTCAAAAAAGCCTATGAAAAAGGTACCAGGGGCATCTCATGGGGCCCCCTACTGACTCCGGGCCCTCAGGCAGTGCCCGAGTTTCCAAATGGTCAGTCCGCCCCTGGTTGTAAGCTATAGAGAAGAGTGACAGCAGCGCCACTCTAAGTGTAGACAGTTAAAATCAGGCAAATTTGATGGTAAAATTGCCCTCACATAGGTAGGTAACAAGTAGGCATGTCAAGTGATTGAGGTCCAGTGGAAGGCTCAGGTCCTTTGGCTGCGCTCTGGGTTTTTTCCCGCCGCTCCAGTGGTGTCCGGGGCTCGGGGAGTAGCAGAGGGAGGCTCACAGGGATAGTGTCACCGCATGGACTTGGTTTCCAAGATGGCGCGCTTTCGGAGCATGCTCACTTCTTCGCCAGGCCTTATAACCTATAACTGAACTATATGACTCTTTAACCACTTCCCATCCGGCCCAATGTATATTTAACAGCCGGAGGGGAGCAGTGCAGGGGCGAGTAGCCACTTATAAATGGCAGGACGGTGGCAGTGCAGAGCCGGGTAGCCACTTATAAATGGCAGGACGGTGGCAGTGCAGGGATGGGTAGCCACTTATAAACGTCCTCCCCGCCCCCTGCTTGTGCGCGTACCCTGGGAGTGCACGCACCGCGATCCAGTGCCCGCTGTGTCCTCCGGACACAGTGGAACACCGATCGTCTTACGGGACCACTGTGCGAGGTCCCGATCATGTGATCACTGATTGGCCAATCAGTGATCACATGACGAGTAGTAAGCAAGAAGTCACTTCTGACATAATTTCTTACTACGTGTGAAATCTGTGAATGATCACCGAGGTCACATGGTACAGGGCTATTCACAACAGCCTTGTACCATGTGACAAGCTGTGACCAATCACAGCTCACACAGTAGTTCTGCAAGGATGCAGCCAGAGAGAAGGAGAAATGATTGCTTTTGCAGCCTTTATGGGTGTAAAAGCAATCAGTGTAAAAAAAAAAAAAAAATCTTCATCACCCCCCCCCCCACAAGTAGTACAGTGTCACCATGGTGACACTGTACTGCTAGGGTGACAGTATGTAAAAAAGAAAAAAAAAGAAAAAACATAAATAATAATATAAAAAAATAAAATAAAAATGTAAAAAAAATTATAATTTTTGGTTATAAACTAATTTGGGTTTTTTTTTTTTTTTGTTAAAAAGATAACTGAATAAATTTTGTCCAAGATTTATGAAAAAAGATTAATTCCTTGCAAAATTTTATTAGAAAAAAATTATTTGGACATTTCATTTACATAGCAAAAAAAAAAAAATCCCAGCGGTGAATAAATACCACCGAAATAAAGTTTTATCTGCCTCAAAAAAAATGCTAAAAAATTGATATGGGTACAGTGTCGCATGACCGCGCAATTGTCATTCAAAAGTGTGATAGCGCTGAAAGCTGAAAATTGGCCTGGACAGGAAGGGGGGGAAAGTGTCCGGACTTGAAGGGGTTAATGGATTGACCAATTACACATAAAATAATAACAATGTCAACTTACAGAATTTTGTCTCTTTCAGGAGCTCACATGAACTGTGCCGTGTCATTGACAAACTGCGTCCTAGGGAAACTTCCGTGGAAGAAACTTCCCCTTTACATGTTGTCCCAGATCACTGGATCCTTCCTGGCCGCCGCGGTGGTGTTCTGCCTATACTATGGTACTGAGCGTGACTTTATGGTCTTATATATATTCAGAAACATATTCAGAAAGTGATTCAAATTAATTCAGAAAGTAATTCAGATTAATTCAGAAACATATTCAGAAAGTGATTCAGATTAATTCAGAAACATATTCAGAAAGTGATTCAGATTAATTCAGAAACATATTCAGAAAGTGATTCAGAAACATTTTCAGAAAGTAATTCAGATTAATTCAGAAACATATTCAGAAACTATTGCTCGCATGTTTGGAATGCTGCATGACCCTTGACAAGACTAAAATAAAAATATCAAAATATTCATTTTTCCATCAGATAAATATAAATTAGCATGTAGGAATATTCTGAATTCTTATCTCGAGCATTCTTGGCACCTTGTCACGTTTTCCAGTTTTTTTTTTTTGCTTCTGCTCCTGTTGGAACAAGTCTGTACGGAGCTCAGTAGCTCAAGATTAATTTACAATATTATCAAAAACGTTAAATAATTCTTAAAAAAGCAACAACCTTCAAATAGAAAGACGGGCAGACATCGGTTTACGAACGCCTCAGTTAACGTAATTTTCGGTTTATGAATGAAAAAATCCATTGAAAATAATGCCTCGGTTCACTAATTTTTTTCGCAATGCGAACTGATTAATTGGTTTTCAATGCTCTCTCCATTGGCCTCCATCACCAGGTATGTGATACAGGGTAACAGTTGAACACCTTCCAGTGATTTAAATAGGCCATCCGGTGCCTATAAAATTTGTTTTCAATGCATTTACGATTTTTTTTTTACTCATGTCCCTGTACAGTATTTATGCCTTTAAAGTCCACTTTATAAAGAGTTTTGAACAGACAAAACTTTTTTGGAATTTTTTCTGACCTCCAGAACGGATTAATTGGTTTTCAATGCATTTACGAATTAATTTTTAATCATGTCCCTGTACAGTATTTATGCCTTTAAAGTGCACTTTATAAAGAGTTTTGAACAGATAAGATTTCTTTCTGACCTCCAGAACGGATTAATTGGTTTTCAATGCGTTCCTATGGGAAACCGCGTTTCGGTTTACAAATTTTTCGCAATACGAAAAGTCCTGCAGAACACATTAAATTTGTAAACTGAGGTACGCCTATATGTGTAAATGTCATCTTTTTTTTTTGTAAATGTTATTTTTATTACTTTTTAAATGCATTTTCAAATTTTTTTTTTTAATCATGTCCATTTATGCCTTTAAAATGCACTTTATTATTATTATTATTATTATTATTATTATTAATAAACAGGATTTATAAAGCGCCAACAGTTCGCTCAGCGCTGTACATTACAATGGGAGACAATACATGAGACAGTACAATAACAATACAATACACGAGGGGTTCGAGGGCCCTACTCCTTGGAGCTTACAATCTAGGAGGGAGGGGATGGTGGCACAGGAGGAAATAGCTGTGGGGGATGGAGTGGTAGGAAGAGTGGAGGAGATCAGCAATTAGCAGAGGGCGGGGTAGGCTTCCCTGAAGAGATGGGTTTTCAGGGTGCGCCTAAAGGAGAGGAGAGTAGGTGATAGTCTGATGGATTGGGGTAGTGAGTTCCAGAGGATGGGTGATGCCCTGGAGAAGTCCTGGAGACAGGCATGGGAGGAGGAGACCAGGGAACTAGAGAGAAGGAGGTCTTGTGAGGAGGGGAGAGTGTGTTTTGGGTGGTATTTGGATATCAGGTCAGTGATGTAGTTTGGGGCAGTGTTATGAACAGCTTTGTACATCAGTGTTAGGATTTTGAATTTGATCCATTGGGCAATCGGAAGCCAGTGGAGGGATTGGCAGAGGGGGGTGGCGGAGATGGGAGCAGTTGGAAAGGTGGATGAGTCTGGCTGCTGTATTCAGGATCGACTGAAGTGGGGATATATATAACTTTATAAAGAGTTTTGAACAGATAAAATACTTTTTTTTACATTTTTCTGACCTCCGGAACGGATTAATTGGTTTTCAATGCATTTACAATTTTTTTTTAATCCTGTCCCTTTATGCCTTTAAAGTGCACTTTATAAAGAGTTTTGAACAGATAAAACTTTTTTGAATTTTTTCTGACCTCTTGAACGGATTAATTGGTTTTCAGTGCATTTACGAATTAATTTTTAATCATGTCCCTGTACAGTATTTATGACTTTAAAGTGCACTTTATAAAGAGTTTTGAACAGATAAAACTTTTTTAGAATTTTTTCTGACCTCCGTAACAAATTAATTGGTTTTCAATGTGTCACGGAGTGCCCGTGCCTTCCCCACCCCCCCCCCTTTGCCTGCTGTCCCTCTGCCGGTTTTCAATGCATTCCTAAGGGGAACTGCGTTTCGGTTTACGAAAAGCTCTGCAGAACAAATTTGTAAACCGAGGTACGCCTGTATGGGAAAAATGTAATTTGGAGATACACTCACTGGCCACTTTATTAGGTACACCTTGCTAGTGCCAAGAAAATCTCCCCCACACCATGACACCCCCACCAGCCTGAACCGTTGATAAAAGGATGGATCCATGCTTTCATGTTGTTTACATCAAATTCTGTCCCTACCATCTGAATGTCGCAGCAACCAGTCTGCCCATTCTCCTCTGACATCAACAAGGCATTTTCTTCCACACAACTGTCGCTCACTGGATATTTTCTCTTTTTCGGACCATTCTCTGTAAACCCTAGAGATGGTTGTGTGTGAAAATCCCAGCAGATCAGCAGTTTGTGAAGTACTCAGACCAGCCCGTTTGGCACCAACAACCATCCACATTCAAAGTCACTTAAATCCCCTTTCTTCCCCATTCTGGTGCTAAGTTTGGACTTCAGCAAGTCATTTTCACCACGTCTAGATGCCTAAATGCATTGAGTTGCTGCCATGTGATTGGCTGATTGGCAATTTGTGTTACCAAGCAATTGAACAGGTGGACCCAATAAAGTGGCTGGTGAGTGTAGATGTTTCATTACACGCAGAAAAAATAAGAAAAAGCTTGGTATTACCATATTACATATTGAATTTCATTAAATATCAAGAACTTCAGTATAAAATAACACATACTGTAGATGGTATTTAGTGCCATTACAACTTTTTTTTTTTTCTATGGTTGAACTGGATGAACTTTTGTCTTTTTTAAGCCAGACTAATGCAGGGCATAGATGGGTCGAAAATCGGCCGATTTTCGCAGTTAGTGGGTTAATTGGTCGGCCGTTTTTCGGGGTTTTGGCACTTTTTTTTATCGGTCAAGTTGGAAAATTTGTGGCCGATTTTGACGATCGGACGATTTTCCCGGCAATAATGGGCAAATCGGCCGATCGTTTTACCGATAAAAAATCTGCGCATGAGCCGTGACCTGCAAGAAGAAGAAGAAGAAGAAGAAGAAAAAGAAGAAGAAGAAGAAAAAGAAGAAGAATTCCAGTCTTCTATTATATATTTTATATGAAAAGTCTTGCAGTTGCAACAATGTATCCATTTGTATCCAAATAAAAACATCTGTATCCCAAATGGATACAAACAGATACATTGTTGCAATCACAAGATTTTATTCATGTAAAATATAATAGCGGAACTCTCTGCAAGGGACAGAAGTAAAAATGCCAGCCATAGACGAGACGAAAATCGGCCGATTTTTTTACCGTTGGTAGTAATGTCGGCCGATTGAATGACCGATTTCTAGTTTTTTAAAAAAAAAAAAAAAAAATAGCCGATTTTCGACCCGTCTATGGCCTGCATAACTATGTATATGGATATAGCCGAATGGGATCTATAGACCTCCCTGTAATGACAAAAGCTTTTTTTCCCCATTTTTTAAAAAAAAAAAATTTTTAACCAGAAAAGATTATAAAAGGAGCTTTGATAAGTCACTGATGTCCAATTATTGGAAATCGGACAAACTACCCAAACGCACAGAACTGAAAGAACATATGTCTTATATATCCAAAAGATTAATACTGGTCTATTTCACAAACTATACAGGTGAAACACTGTGTGTGCAGGGCGTCATAACCCGCCCCTGAGGATCAGCCTTTTCCACTTGCAGTGTATTGATGCATCTTCAGAGCACTACCAAGTGCCAGAAAGAGGAAGAGGATACTGTGCATCATGTTATCAGACTGAAGACTTTAAAAAAAGTATATTATCACATAACTATACAGGTGAAACTCGAAAAATTAGAATATGGTGCAAAAGTTCATTTATTTCAGTGCAGCAACTTAAAAGGTGAAAACTAATATATGAGATAGACTCATTACATGCAAAGCAAGATAGTTCAAGCCGTGATTTGTCATCATTGTGATGATTATGGCTTACAGCTCATGAAAACCCCAAATCCACAATCTCAGAAAATGAGAATATTGTGAAAAGGTGGAATATTCTCGGCTCAAAGTGTCCCACTCTAATCAGATAATTAAGCCATAACACCTGCAAAGGGTTCCTGAGCCTTTAAATGGCCTCTCAGTCTGGTTCAGTAGGAATCACAATCATGGGAAAGACTGCTGACCTGACACCATCACTGACACCCTCCATAAGGAGGGAAAGCCTCAAAAGGTAATTGCAAAGAAGTTGGATGTTCCCAAAGTGCTGTATCAAAGCACATTAATAGAAAGTTATGTGGAAGGGAAAAGTGTGGAAGAAAAAGGTGCACAAGCAGCAGGGATGACCGCAGCCTAGAGAGGATTGTCAGGAAAAGGCCATTCAAAAGTGTTGGGGACTTTCACAAGGAGTGGACTGAGGCTGGAGTCAGTGCTACAAGAGCCACCACACACAGACGGATCCTGGACATGGGTTCAAATGTCGTATTCCTCTTGTCAAGCTGCTCCTGAACAACAAATCTCAGAAGCGTCTTACCTGGGCTAAAGAAGAACAGACCTGATCTGTTGCTCAGTGGTCCAAAGTCCTCTTTTCTGATGAGAGCAACTTTTGCATCTCATTTGGAAACCAAGGACCCCGAGTATGGAGGAAGAATGGAGAGGCCCAAGGACCCCGAGTATGGAGGAAGAATGGAGAGGCACAAGGACCCCGAGTAT